GAAGCTCATTAAACCATGGAAAAAAATATTTCACGAAAATTGAATAAGGTATTTCAAATGGATATTTGAATAAAATCTGCAAGACAGAAATTGATGCTAATGTGAAACGAGTATTCAATGTTTGTCTGAAGAAGGGGGGGGGGAACCCCTCACCTTGGAGCAAAACTTCCAATGCATTAAATATTCATGAGTGGAAGACCATCCGCATTTTCATTACACTTAAATGATGTAAGGAAGAAAATTAACAGTTGTCTAAAAAAGTATTCAAATTGGATGTATTTAAAGAGGAAAAGTTTCTATAAAATATAGAATAGTTTCAATTGCAATGAATAAGATTAGACGCCCCAGCATTAGATGGGGGACAAAATGATGAATTGTCACACTTAAATTATTGGACAATTTATGTGATTTTATTATACATCTGGTTTGTCATAACATAACACAATTTACCAAGATGAGATTTTTAAGATTCACATAGCTACAACCTTAACAGAATTATAAGGAATGTAATGATCGAATTTGATGGAATCTTCAGAAAAATTGACTAGTTAAATTGTCAGAATTATGTATGACTATTTATGTTTTTCTATATGCAAAAGTGAGCTTGGCAACAACAGCAGTGGTAACCATGGTTACAAAATTTTTTACCCGCATTAAAAAGCTTTCATAGGTTTCACAGTATCTTATTGTAAAGTTATTTTGAAATTTTTAACATTGCATTATAAAATGGAGTTCTGGTTGGTGACATATGAAATGAAATCTGCTGCATATATTACAGTTTTTCAATTTGCTGCATTTAGAAAATAAGGTCCCCTGTGTTTAAGTTTGCAATTTTCGAGTTTCAGTAGTTTTCAAGTTCAGTAAAGTCCGGCCAAGCTTTTCTCAACATGCACATTTTTATGTCATTATAGGTATCTTTAATTTGTAAATATAACTACTGTACACAGAATTGTATTAAATGTTCAAAAAGTTTTGAAATGTTAATTTCATTTTGTCATACTTGTCTACACATTCTATGTCGGAGCCTAGTGCAGTCGGGTGTGTAATAATAATATGTAGTGATAACAATATAGTTGTGAGTTTTGCTTACGACAACTGAAAACATGTCATCTTACTATACTAGTATAGTACATTGCTGAATAAGGTAAAAACCAAAATGTGAAATCTCAAGGAATTGCTGCAAATCGCAAAATCCATCTAAAAATGATCAAGAACTGATCTACATTACAAACACAACATAACCAACCTCTATGAATCTTTTCCATCAAAATTAACTCATTAACAATCCTAAGGATTAATGTTGCTTGATATGTAATAACACAATCAACCCAAAAGGGCAGTCGACCACATAAGACAGTTTCATCCTGTTGTCTGTTCTTCCCTTTCTTCCCTTTGAGCAAGATCAAAAATCATAGATCAAAGACATGTACAGTTACCATCCATCATGTACAGTTAGTTACCATCACTACTTTTCCTATCTTTTCTATGATGAATTCTATGCATTCGAATTAGAAGAAAATATTACATATCTGCAAAAGAAATAATTTTGTTCTCTTCATATTTATCATTACCTTTAATATTTTTGTTCCTTAAACTTTGCAATACACTAAATTGCAATGATTGGACATCCATTAAAAAGAAAACAGGATCACCCATACATCATATCATCTTTGGAGGGATATCATTTGCGAGTTTACTTATTCATCTAAAAGTTCCTCATTTTATTACTTCATTTGGATTTTATAACCTAGCTATTTGTTGTTTTCAAGATCTGTGGTTCAAGATAATTTATTTATGATAAAAAATCGCCAAACTGTTGTTAACGCCAATGCTGTCAAAAATAATTGTGGCAACCCTAACGCAAGAAAGAAAATATAATAGTAAATAACTATTTAAGATTGATGTTTTAATTTAGATGAAAGGTTAATTTCACATAATAATTTTTTATTATTACAATTTATATAAAAAAAAAGGCTAAAAATGATCGAATGGAAGCATCAGAGTAAATAACTATTTCAGATCATTATTATAATTTACATAAAAATTGCTAAACATAACTGAATGGATGCCTGCATCGCTATTTCGCTACCGAGTTATCGCGAAAGCATAATTTTATCTTGTTGGTTGTTCAAACATAATTTTCTATAATGAATGATGCCTTTTCTTTGAAAAAATTCTTGGTATAGTGCAGAATCGCCCACTTATTTGTTTGCTAGTTTTTACAAGGGTAAAAAACAATTGGATTTTTTATCAATTTTCTTTTAAAGTGAAAATAGGTCGATGTGTACATAGATAAAGTCAAGGGTGTGCGCAGTGCCATTTTTGTGCAATTCTGGGATTTTTTTAAAGTAAAAATAGGTCAATGTGTACATGGATACCGAGTATGTGCAATTCTTAAAAACGCGTCAAGCAATGGGGGATTCTGCACTTTACCCAAAATTTGATTGCAGACATTTCGTCATGGGCAATTCCCAAATTGTTAAATCCATAGGATAACCAAAGAGGATTTAAAAATTAAATTAGTATTTCAATGGCATCTTAAGAAATACAAAACGATATAAACTTACGAAATCCAAAATCAGCCCGTACACTAGATTTGGCGCGCTGTTAAATGGCCGTGTTTGCTAGATTTGGCGCTTTTGCACATACATTTTCGCTGAATTTTTTTTACGGTCCTTGAAACGGAATAGTACCCTTTGTTCTAACATAAGTATTCTGACACAGAATCAGACTTTTCCTGAAATAACATTCAAATTTTTTTCATATTTCGATTAATATCTAGGCATAATTTGAGTCGTACAAATTATGTAATTTTTGGTGAGAAATTTATGGAGAAATTAAAAAATTTATCTTGACGAATTTTTTTTCAGTGGCGCCAAGAATAATTCACTTGGCGAATTTCTTAATTGTAGCAACCTATTTTCCTTTCCTTTTTTTTCATTGCCCACAAGCAGGGAAAAAGTCATCATTCATACTACCAAATAATTTTTACAAAGTGTGTACACCACATTTTTGTTATTATTACTTATAATAAATATGCCAAATTTCAAAACGTGCTAAAATGTAAATTCATGTATACCTTAGGAAATTTTGAATACAAAAAACTAATTTTTTGCAGGTATGCTTAGAAATACAGCTACTTTAAGATGATGGCAAAATTTTATAGGTTATAATTAAAGTTTTTTTCGAAAAATTTATAAAAATTATTTAAAAACACAAATTTTAAAAATAAATCATAAAAATAGGCCAATTTCATTTGGAATGAACCTACATTTTGAAATATAAAAGGAAGAATTAAAATAAGTTTAGTAAAAAAGAGATATTAATAAATATATATCAAATTCAATTTACAATGAGGAGCTAAAATTTTGAGTTGTTTTAAAAACTATTTGAGCGATTTTTATAAAACTTGGCAATTTCACATAATTTGAGTCAGAGAATTAAAATATGGGAAAAAATTGTCATTTCAGAAAAAGTCTGATTTTGTTTCAAAATACCTACATTAGAACAATGCTACATATAAATGTAATACATATCCTAAGTCGCACTTTAGAGACATGAAAAACGCGAGTTGATTTTCATCAATCGGCCCAGTAGAACAGAAAATATAACCCCCCCTTTTTTGTGCTGTGTACATAGGAAAAGGGATGCGTTTCATAAATGAATAGTCAACATATGCACAATCAACTGCTGTTGTTCTTCAACTAATACACCAGTATCTGTATAACTGACAAAAATTATTATATGTCTCCATATTTGGCAGATATTCTTGTTCAAAAGAAAACAGATATATATGGAACCCTTTCTTGTACTAGAAAGGACTTGCCACTAGGTTTTTTTCAAAAGGGGGAAAAAAAGAAAAAAAAAAAAAAAAAGAAAGGGACAGTGCATTGCATATATCAGCGTGAAATTGTCATGGTGCTAAAGTGGAATAATAAGAAAATAGTAAATATGCTTAGTTCTTTTCATGATGTGTCCTTTGTATCAGTTTAATCAGGGACAGCAAAAGAAAAACTTGAAGAAGAATATAATGAAGCCAAAAGTGATTTATGATTATAACTTTACAATGAATGGTGTTGACAGCTGCGATCAGATGTCGTACTACCCTAATACCCGAAAACAACTTCGTAAATATTACAAAAATATATTCTTCTATATATTGGATCAAGCAATATGGAATTTGTATATAATATACAAAATAACAAAAAAAAAAAAAAATCCCTTCTTGACTTTAAGTTAGCTGTGATCAAAGAAATCTTTGACAAATAATCTTCTGATATATACTCATCAGTACAGTCTAGTGATGATAGTATGAACTTTATTTGCTTTGTAGGGAGACATTTTGCAAGACACATACCACAAATCATATAAAAAAAAAAGAACGCGGAAGGTTGTGTGTTGCTCCAAAAAAGACAACAATGGGAAAAAATTATGCGAAGAGACTCACATTTGGTGTGAAGATTGTAAATAAAAAGCAATATTATTAATCAATATACACTTGCTTTTTTCACCATTTATTCTAGTTCAGTATCCTCTTAATTAGCTTTGTACAATGCAACTTGCACTTTTCAGAAAAAAATGAAATATATGATTTTTGTTAGTGTAAACTCAACTTTTCTGTGATATTCTTTCCATCATATCAACAATACATTATCAGTACTGCTTACTATAATTTTGGCACTGCTAAATTAAATGCAGTTTGTAAGAGATGTCCACATACTTTTCTTAAATACAAAATACTATTTTGCTTAATTTTACAATAAAAAAGCTTGTTGTAATACAAAGGAGACAATCCTTTTGATTAATAGGTGGAATTATTCCCTATTATCATGCACATACATAATAATAATTTTTAAGGGGGGAGGAGTGAAAATCAAAGGCTAAAACTTCAATTTTAAAATTTAATCTACATTTGTTTAGCACTTTCTTTACAAAAATAAAACATATTGTAAGCATTACAATGCATAAAAGTATTTATAAATAAAAATCAAATATCTTACCCATATCACCACCAATTTTTTCATGATCGTTTTCTTCTTCACCATTACGATAAAGATTAGATGTTATAACAGTCCCATTAGTAGTGTATGGCAAAGTTCGAATAACTTCTGCATTATCATTCACTGTATCTAGATTTTCCATTTCAACATCAGCATCAGGATGAATGTAGTTCGTAGGTCCAGAAATTTCAGAGTTTCCATTCAACATTTCACCATTCATAACACGATTTGCAGTGTTCATTTCTTCTATAGATGATAATGTCACTGCTACATTATTATTTACATTATTATTTTCAACTGTCACTGGTATAGAAGGTTTGGGCGTAATGAACTGAGAAGATGCAGAATGAGGGCTATGACTCCGATTGGGAGAACTACCAGACACCACAGGAGAACTACATGTAGATAAAGTTGTTGCAGGTCTATGAAAGTACACACTAGGGTAGTTAGGACTCATACAAGGTGAACCGCTATGTGATCTTGGGCTCTTGGTGGGACGGACTTCACTGTCAGTTCCATTCACCATTTCAACAAACTGTCTACATTTCAACATAAACAATAAGTTTGGATTTTGTTCCAAAAGTCCAGGATAAAGATTTTGAGTTGTTTGAATTGCTTCGCCCATGCGTCCAGCCAGTACAAGTTTCTGAATCTCTGAAATAAACAACAGTATTAGTTTACAAATCTTTTAACTTAGTAGAAAAGATAAGATTAAGCAGTACTTTCTGATTATTCACATCCTCAATGAAAAATCACAATTCAGTGACAGCATTCTTGAACTCATTGGAGTCAATTTTTTGCAAAGTTCGCGTGAATAAGGAATCAGCTATTTTCAAAACGGTAGCATACTAAAAATTCCATACAAGAGCAGCCAATGAATAAAATTTTAAAAAACAAGAAAAACTGATAATAAAATATTTACTTTTTTCAAGAGATCCTTTGAGTTGTTGTTCTTACCACATACACAGTAAACTGTTTTAACTTAATGTTTCTTTCATTAACATATTGTTTTGCCTCATGAATACTTCATGACTTTTTGGCTGGGGTAAGGATAATCAAAAAGTACCAATTAAACTTTTGAATAATTCAAGGGACATACTCACTTAGACCACAAAGCTTTTATTACATTAACTGCATGATTTCTCATCCTTTAATTTAAATATCTGGGAATCAGGATTCCAGGTTATTAAAATATTAATAAGGAAAACAATGCACAAATAAAGAAAAAATCAAAAATGAAAATATCTTCATTTGTATCATAATATATAAACATTATTTATATAACAAAATATTGTCAGCAGTCAACAACAGGCACTGTAATAGTTAAATAAGAGATTAAAACATTATAATGTAATAATATTTCATGTGGTTACATTGCATTTTTTAATATACCATAAATATTCACTTTTATAGATGCATATAACGAAGACTGAAAAAGGAAACAATACATTAGAAACAAAAATACCAATATAATACGGTCTACCAAAAAATTCTACATATTTAAGAAAGGGGGGATATCTTTTTCATACCTTTAAGAATATTTACCATAAAATATAATTTCTGTTACTACTTATGACATTTTGCCAGTTTTATAATAATTTGCAGATATCATTTATGAAAAATGTCGTCCTCAGAGGTGAAGAACTCGAGTAGTGTTTCAGCTGACATTAGATTCAGTTTAAATTTTTTTTAATCCACAAAAAATTTTACAAGGAGAGAAACAAATGATAACTGGGGGTGTTAGGTACGGAGAGTATGGTGGATATGGCACAACTTCCCAACCTAGCTCTATAATTTTCTGACGAGTCACCAAAGCAGCATGTGATCTGGCATTATCACGATGCAGCATGATCTGCTTCCTATTGAACATCGCTAGCCTCTACTCTTTCACTGCTTTGTTTAAATCAAGTATTTGCTGATAACTCTCTGAATTGAGCTTTTTTTTAGGTTTCAAAAGCTTGCAATATATTGGTCCTTGGATGTCTCACCATATACAAAGCCTTCACTTATTAGGCTCAAACTTGATTTATAGTTACAGGGGACAGGTTGTCTGGGCTCACAGTATGCTCTTTTCCTAATGATGTTTTCATAGCTTTTCATCTCCAGTTATCATCCGGTCCAAAAAGGGTTTGTTTTTGTTCCGAGCAAGCAGAGTTGAGCACATGACAACACAATCATGACAATTTTTTTCACTTCGCTCATGAGGCACCCATCTGGATATTTATAGACCAATCCTAGTTTCCAAATATGGTCAAAAATGGTTTATTGAGCTGAATTAAGCTTTTCTGCAATCTATGATGTTGTATGAAAAGGATCTTGCTCTGTTATGGTCTTGACCACATCATCGATAAAAAAATGGCCATCCAAAGCATGGTTTTATCATTAAGCTGAAATCACCTACTTCAAATTCTTCGAACCATTTCCTGCCCTTTCTCTTTGAAACTGGATCTCCATCAAACACCATCGATAAAGTTTTAAGTGCTTCTGTAGCATTTCTTCCTTGATGGAATTCATACAAAATACAGTATCACAAATGAACTAAATCAGTAGCCATGTTTACACAATAGCATCTCACTTAATACTGACATGATATGGTTTTAAAGCAGATGTTTATAAATAAATGCAGTGATAAAGACAACCAGACATATTATGTCTCAAAATGAACACCTGCATTTCTGTTGAAACTTAAAATAACATAATCAAACAGAACATTCTAGAAAACCTTATAAATTATGCAGCAACTGTAGATCTTTGGCAAATGTTGTTAGAAATTCACAATACAGCATCATATAAAAACACACACATCACTTACTGAGAAACACTAATGCAACATCAGCATACCTTTGGCCATATGTAATATACTAAGTCTCTAGAATATACTTTTAAAGAGATTTTAGAAAATAATAACAGAAATGCTTCCATCAGGACATTAGATGTACACATTTCTGCACACGGAAATTAAGTACTTTTAAGGACGATTAATGAAAAAAAATTAAGGACCTATGAGCAAATGGGAACTCATAGGTCAATTCAATTAAAAATATTATTCTATGCTTGAATTTCACTTTTGTAATACCATCCTAAAAATAAAATAGATCCCCAAGTAGTATGCATTATTACTAAACATGAATTAATTAACAATTATTAATAAGTTCGAGAATAAATTAAACTTTAGGCAATTTATCAAGTAGCATTAAATATTTTACACTTATAATATTTGGACATATTTGTAAGAAGAAAAGTGATGACATTCACGTTTTACTAAAAGCTTTATGTCGATTTCTTTGTCTCATTTTGTCACATATTTGGTCAGTCCAGAGGTTTAGTAAATAGCAGGTATTACATTTTATGTCAAGCGGCATAGGTTAAAATAATATGTAAGATCATAATTAGCATGATTCATAACAAAAGACTGAATGTTATCACCGCTGCTGATTGTCCAGAGAGAGACATACTGATTCGAACAAACCTGAAAAGCCTGATGTAGGCACGGTTGGCAAGTGTTGAAAGTTCGTAGCTTCGTTTAGAGTTCAAGGGGTTGTAACCCAGTTAATGTACTTTAAGGTCCTAATAAACCATTAAAGCACCAGAGGTGATAAGTTGTTTTGTGTTATTTTAAATCTCAGTAGATGCAAAGAATAAGTTTTACTTCAATTTTTACATTTTTATATTTTATATTGTGACCACAGTGAGTATTAATGAAAGGCAATAACTCTCTTAATTATGTAGAAATAATTTTTAAGGGTAAGAAGTTAATTATAAATTATTAAATTAGGTAATTAGATAACCTTAGTCAATATGGATTTACATGGGCACTATTAAATTTTATTTTTTTAACAATATTTGTTAAAAAGCCCTATTTAAATCAAAATCTAATAAAATTACACAGTAAAGTATATGTAATTTATGACACAGATTCTTAAACAATATTAAGATAATTATGCATTAAAATCTACAGAACATTTATGCTTTGTAACAACAACAGTCAACAAAATATTTATCCGTCATTTTAATTGGAAGCCTTCAATGGGTAGTTTATATCGATTTCCTTCTCTTTAAGCATCTTTTCTAACAATTAGAGATTTGCCTCAATATGCAATTCAAAGCTCTTGCTAGTTTCTGCGTCTTTATCTTTCCAACCTCTCCACAATGTACCTATGAGCGTTTAATTGATCCGGTAAAAGTTAACTAGTCCAAAACTCCCGACAGGCGTGAAGCATACTATCGCTATGTCTGAAATTAACTACAATATCAGACAAAGGTTTAAATAAGCCTCTTATTTAAAAAGAGCTTAGAACATAGAGGCATGTTCTGAAGCTAACAAAATCAATTACAGCTCACGGTGATGTAATTAAACAAGAACAGCCAAATTCAAACTAATAATGTGGACTAATGGTCAAAGATTATACAATTTAATTTAATCTCGCTCAATAACTCTATCATATGAGGAAATAAAAATGAGTAGTTATAGTAAAGGCTGAAATCATACACAATTGGGTAATTTACATAATAATAACTGCACATATCTTTTTGAAGAATAATTTTCTTTATATATTCAGTTTCTTTCTTCAACACGTTTCCTTTTCATTTTAGAATTTTGGCATTTAATTAAAGATTTCTGTTTATTCTAAAAAAAACTAAATGCATTTAGAATGTATAGAAAAAGGAGTGGCTAATTTTATTTCTTTAGTAATATGAAATATATCATGAAGAAAATGGGCTATAGTCACAAAGCTGGTGTGGTTGAATCTTTTACGTCCATAATTAGTGATACACTGATCTATAATCCGGAATCTAGAAATGGCTACAAACTTTCTCGCATGCACATAATACGTTTATGCATGCGCGTTTAATATATAACGGACGGTATAAGCTAAGCTAAAATTATCTATTTCAATTAATGTTGCAAATTGCATTGTTCTTTAATCTTCTAATTATTATCCGGCTTATTATTTTTTGCAGACCCTCAGAGCAATTTTATAAAAGTAAGCTTGAACTTTCGATTATGTCAAAAAGAATTTCCAATTCTGGAGCTACCAAAGGATCTACAAAGCAAAATCATGTTTCGATGTCCATCAAACAAAAAGTGGAATTGCTGCAAAAAATGGATAAAGGCATATCCTTTCTACATCACGCAATGAACTGGAAGTTGATCAGTCAACACTATCCTTATCTTCAGAGCAGATGTTTTTATTTTATTCAGCTTATATTTCCTTACTAAATGCAGTATTTCATATCGATGTACTTTGATATGATTTAAATCAAATTCCTCGTCATTATAAATATCACGAATACACATCAAATAGTTTTCTGGTTGCAATTTTCTAATTTCGACTATGCATAATGTATGCTTTACACAAGCGTGTGTTGAAAGAAATCTTTAATAAAGTAAACAAATAAATATTAAACTTTTTTTTTTGTAAATTTTGATACCCTTTAGATCGTAATTGCTCTTTATTTCATAAATCACGGTTTCATATTTTTAATTTTATAATTTCTGCATGCCATCTTACCAGATTTAAACTGATGATCTATAATCCGGAAACGCCGAAGTCCCAACGAGTCTGGATTAAGGATTTTTGACTGTGTATATGGTAAAGGGCGGTTACAGAGCTGGTGTGGTAGAAGTTTTAGAATTTAGTGACAAATGGAAC